ATTCAGTTTACCGAAATGAAATATGAAAAGGTTTTGTTTCCGTTCAGTTTGTTTGTTCAAACCTCATGCCGCCGGAGTCTTGCACCTTTGGGTAATATTCAAGTCATGCAAGGATGGTTGGAGTGTTGTTTTCAATTATASATCATGTACACCTGTTATTTTCTATCCAGCAGCGTAGAAAAACACGCAATCYACATTCATGTCCATAAGTTGTTTGATTCAATACGGAATTTTCATAAAAGATACTATTATATCAAAGGGTGCCGTTGTATGACAATCATTCGTGCCTCGATCGGGCGTTAGACAGCAGATTTAAGAACTAGAGAAGAGCTGTTGTCATCTCGCAATAACAACGAGGCCTTTGGCACATTAATTAATCYGTTTCGGTTCCTTTGAACGTCCAAGTCTTTAATATCTCTGATAATTTCGTTTACATCCAAATGAAGCTTTAGAGAGATTTAAAATTGACGACTAAAATTCCTGAGAAATCTCTGTTTGTTAAAGGCTGCCTGTCAAGTGTCGGAAGTCTCAAAGAAGGAAGCGATATCTTTCTAGGAAGCGCATTTTTTAAATAATAAGCTAGACCGCGTCATGTAATAAAACAAGACTTCTTGATTTTACGTTAATTATAGAACAAGACATTTTCCATAGTTTAAACTATTTCTCACTTAATTCTCTTCTTAATTTTGTTGGTCACTACAAGTGGACGCCGATTTTGTTGATTASTTTTAAAATTGTTTGTTTCATGACTACAATCAGTACAGTTTTTTGTCACTCTCTAATTTATTGCTGATAATMTACGCACGATATCCTTGTTTTTGACAAGTTGTAGTCAATAAAAGTGTCTAATTTTGTGGCCTTAAAGATTCAAGTTCTTTATTAGAGATCATGAATCGCTTTTGAAAAATCAAAATGTATGAAAACAAAGTGCTTCATTTATCAATAATTTTGTAAACATGAAAAAACGCTTTCTCTTAATCTCTTTCCACTTTCTTAAATTATATCTCAGAGAGGACGATTATATTTTTCTTAATAATTGATATGTTATGACGGTGAGGACGAAAAGATAACGCATATATCATTGTGAACGCGCGTGATCGGAATCAGGCGCAATGAGAATGGCTAACTAAAATGTATTGACATCCTCAAGCCCAGAGCATGTGCAACTGACCTTCTTCAATTCATCATCTAATCAATACTTACATGTACTCTCAAATGCTCTTATAGGTACTAAAACGTTTTCTTTCGCATTATACGGGCGACATTTAAATGTAATTTAAATGTGCTGTTCCAAGACGATATTCTTTTCGTGATTATTGATTTAAAATGTGTAATAGTTGGCCATAAAAGTGTCATAAATATAGGCGATTAATGATTTATGAATAAAGACGAACATATTAGGGTGATAAGTATATTGCAATTTGATTGGTTTGCAAGTACAAAAATAGATTTTAAACGAGGAACCTTCTAGAACGTTTGATCAAGGCCACCGTCAACAAAAAATCAACATCGAAATAACCATGAAGAAAAAATAAAACAAGCAATATGCATTTCCAGAAGAACAGATAATGCATATGTACACACTGCATATTGATTACTTTTAGATCARGAAAAAAAAACAAAAGAAATATTGTTTTATTAGTAGAAACTTCATGATAAATAAATGGAAATCATAAGCTAGACACAAAGAAAATTTCAATTTTTATTAAAAAAGAGAAAAAAAATCAAAAGCTTTAATTTATCAATTTGCCTGAAAAAACCTGATTAAAAATATATTAGAAGACTGATTTTAAGTCGCATTAATATGTCAGATTTGTTTTTACATATTTTGAGATCGAATACAATCATTAAAGCAATCTTAAAATGACATACAGACGGACTGAGAGTAAACAGGGTTGGTTTATGCCGAGATTACAGGAAACGTCTTGTAGATATTTTTACAACCACCGGATTTACGCTGATTCCTGATCGCTTTTCAGGACMATGTAGTATTGCATTTAAGATGCCGTGAGCTAAGAAATGACATATATACATAATTCTGGTTCTTTTCATGTTTTGTCTTTGCTTTCCATTTGTTTCCACAGCTTTACTTCATATACATCCACATAGTTCTCTTRACAAGCAGTGAACCGAATCCTCAAGCACGGAGACTGTAATACCTTATTGTTTGTAGAAAAAATAACCTCAAACACCCACAGTGCACCTTTTGAGCGAGGGTTCAGCATAAATGCATAACATTCATTTCAAAATTAAGCGTACTCAGATATACGAAAMAAATTGAGTATGTGTCACCCTTACCTTTTGAGATTTGATAGTTGACTTKTGTCTSACTTGCACACTAACTATCCCTACCGGCCACGGGAAGACAACCATGGAYTTAATATATTAATTCAAATCMACGAAAGAAAATTATTAAGTTTGTAATCACAAAACGCTTCAAAAGCGAGATAAAGGCCAATGTTGATGCTATCATTCTTAAGCTGTATACATTCTTTTTTCTCCGGGCAAAGAGATTTTAAATACAACTATTTTTATAGACTCTTTTGGCCATCGCTTATAACGAATGAACTTAAACTGAATAAGTTCAAGGTGAGATCACGTGACAATATTATGTATTTATAGTTGTGCTTATTAGTCCGTGGTAGCATTCAATGCCGTCTCAAGCCAACACAAATTAGTCATATCGTGGGGACACACGTAATACTTTTCGTCGATATACGCGCTCGAGACAGATAATAAGAATAACGTTTGACGTCCGCTTCGGTATGGATGGCGATCGGCAGCTCGAGAGGATAATGAGAAATTTGACGTTACGTCAACCGAGCTGAGAATGTAAATAAACACAGCCCTACATAAACACGAATCGATATAGCTCGGTACTGTGCACTTGGATTGATAGCAGTCCCTYATTCTATGATTTACAATCTATTCTGCATCAGACGCTCATCAATTTTACCCGACAGTCAAGCCAGGTCGTTAACTGACTGGCAATGCTCAATTTCACCGAGGAAGACAGTGGAACAAATACTTCCGTATGTCCCCAAGAACTCGATTCATCTTTGGTGAAAATAGTCAAGACGTTTGCGTATTGTATTATGCTGATTTTGGCACTTGGCGGAAACGTTATCTTGGTATGCGTCGTGTCTTCACAACGTAAATTACGTACAACGACAAACTGTTTGATATGTAACATGGCTATTAGCGATTTGCTAGTTCCAATCTTCGCAATGCCTAGAACTATAGTTGAGATTCACTTGGGCTATCGACGATGGCTTGTCACAGGAACGATTGGCTTAGCGTTGTGTAAAGTTATATATTTCCTACAAGACGTTTCGACGGCGGTGTCTGTGTTAAGCTTATCTATTATAACCATTGATCGCTTTTACGCTGTTGTTTTACCAGAGAGTCGTACTCCTATCAAAGGACGGGTAAAACCTGTTATTGCAGGGATTTGGATGACAGCCATGTTGATGCATTGTCCATATTTTTATACCTTTAAACTGGTAGAAAACAAAGGATTAAATTATTGCGCTCTTTTGTGGCCAAACACTATTGACACACAACTTGCTACTCAAGTATTTTTTTTAACTTTGATAGTTTTGCTATATTTTATTCCTTTCTTTCTGATTGCCATACTACAGGCAATGATTGTCAAACGCTTGCGAAATCAAAGACTACCTTCATTTTCATCTTCATTTCGGCAGCGTAAGAGAGGAAAACGAAACAGAAACGTCGTTCACTTCACTCTGGCTGTCATAGTGACATTTTTTGTTTGTTGGACTCCAACAGTCGTATACTCCTTCACGCTCATTTATGGCGCAAACCCTTGCATCCCAGAAATATTCCGATTTGCTTCACTATTTCTCGTGCAATCAAACTCATCCATCAATTTCTTCATTTATTTTATTTTTAATCAAAATTTTCGAAAGACATTCAAAAAGTTGTTCCATGGACGAAAAATTAGCCTTAAGATGTTGGGACGAGCTGAAACCGTACAACTTCCGGTACTGAGAAGTGAACAAACGGCTTTCCGTATTCGAACAATGACATGTGAGACTCTACCTGATGGCCACAATGACTTCGAAGTAAATACYTTTAAATCTCAAGTAACATTAAAGGGGTTTAAAGTTACGAGTGAAACATTAGATGGAGCTAAAAAGGGCTTATTAAGAAGCACCGAAAATGCGATTAAAAACGGTATGAGTAATATAGACGAACAGTATCAAAAACAGAATTCTGCACAGGGCAATGACTCGATATCCTCAATGGAATTGTCTGATCAAACCTCATAGCACACAATAACAGTGATACCGGTATAGTTTATGCCAAATATAGTAACCGACACACAGATTGTTACAAGAGCGTCTTCATGCCTTATCATTGACATTTGAAAATAGGAATTGTGTTCTTAGAACGACAATTTATGATTCTAGCTTTGGGATCTGATCTCGTGGTATGTTTATCAAAAACGAGTGCGGTGGGCAAATCTATTAGTTGTGGTATTACCAATGATTATTATCATTGTGTATGTCATGCAAATATATTCTATAAAAAATAGCACACCTAGAAAAACCTACATCATAATAATAACGATAATCATGGTAGGATGTTTACATCACTGGTTCATACAAAATGAAGATTCGACGTGAAAAATTGCATAATTTGGCTTCGGAAGCAAGCAAAGAAAAGTGGATACGAAATGCTACAGGGCGACCATTGAATAAACAACAAAGATTCTATCATGATTCATGAATAGAAAAAAATTAATATCAAAATCCATAAAATGACATTAAACTTCCACGAAAAAATATGTTTTTCAAAGTGAGTTAGATCAAAACGTATTTACTAATAATAAACCACTTGTTTGGCAGGTACTGCATTCATTTTTACAGTACCACACGGAGAAAAGCAAACAACCTATTTTGGTGCATGCGCATTTAATTAACCTTTAATTGTATGTTTCTCTGCGTGAGATCCAATAAAAGTGACTGCTAGTTATGACACAAGTTCATCATTAAGAATATTTTAATTATTAATTAAAGCCTTAGGAAGAAATCTGTTTGTTTATTCTACAAATGATTTTGTAAAGTTTCCACTGAACGTAAAAGAAATATTGTTTTTCTAACGATAACCCTAAAGGCTTTAAACAAAACAAAACGGCAACACCGGCAAACGTCCTTATTTTCTGAAATTCTGAGCAATTCTTAGCTGTTAAGTTTCTGAATCACAGTATTTTCTTATTCAAATCTTCAAAAGTTAACCTCAGACTCAGTGTTCCGCAATTGTCTCCCACGTTGAGCGTCCGATACCGTATTATAACAAGGCAATACTCAGCTGGCACCCAGAACTGTAGTCGCATGAAGCTTATCTGAGATGAAGTCAAAATTGTGGTATAGGATGCATTATTGAGAAACTGAAAGCAATTTGGCRGAAACTCAAAAGACGGGAAAGTCAATAAAAGAAACTTCAAAATTACCATCAAAATTTGACATCTTTACGTTACCAAATGATCTAGCTCTTGAGAGCACATTGACTTTTGGCAGCTTTCTGAGTTCTTCCTTTGTCAAACTTCATGGCAATTCAAATGGTTCTTAGCATGCCATCGCTTCATCTTCGATTATATGGCATTAACTTTGATCCTGTCGGGTTCTTGAATTTTTGTTTGCGTACTTTTCAAATRAAAATCGAAGTTAAAACGATTAAACTATGCTATGACCAGGAAAAATWGTTTCTTTGTTGTTGCCGTTATTTTTTAATGAATAGCTGGCGGCAAACATTGACTGGTGTGTGTCATTGGTGTTGTGTTTTTACTTTAGATACCATCCTTTCGTACTGTGCGTTTATTGGTCTTTTTCACGAACGCCTTTATATCTACACACACAGCTGCAAAATTAGTAGGATCTAATGCTCCTGTTCTTAGAATAAACACTCGAAAGTGTACCAGCTCCGTCTGCTGAAATGTCTTTTTTCACTAAAAACAAGCAAGTTAAAAATAGAATTGAAAAAAATAGAAGAAAGAGATTAAAGAATAGTTCCACTGATTTTTAATAATTAAAATGTTTTTTTATCCCAGTCTGGTAAAAGGGCCATCACATGATGTAAAAGCTTTAAGTCCATTAAGTAATGAACCTCTCAAAAATTACAACAATCAGATAAAGTTTATCCTCGGAAAAAGGTGTCAACGAATAACAATTTTTTTCTTTTTTAAAATTTGGCAAAGTAAAGTTGTAAAATCATCCTGTATACAATAGTTTTCAGGTAAATTCAGAGTTTTAAACGTTTTCAGTGCATTATAGGGTAACTGCCTGCATTATCGCTCAAATATTTGAAATTGTTAAAAAAGCAAATAACACTAATTGATCACTTCAGGAAAAAATAATGATAATTCAGATTAGAATATATAGTAGTGGTATAAAAGAAGTTGAAACTGACATTGACTCAAATTGCCATTTGTTTCAGTTAGATGAAAAAATTCAAATTATTTAATTAAAACTGCGAAGGATTTTTTAAAGTCATTACGAGGTGCTTAAGGTATTAGTATTTCTACGTGTCTGCATAATGCGGGGGAACAGGTTAAACTGCACGCATACAGTAATAATACACGACTACCTTTCATAACATTATCAATATTCGAGGGATACTTTTTCAGTTATACAAAATTCGATCCATGCAAAAAAAAA